CGACAATTCAAGACTGCGTTTTACAGATTGTTGCAATTAAATTAATGTCAAAGTCAAAAACAAGCAAATTGTGAATGCTGCAAACATTGCTTTTTTTTACTTGTTTCAAGAAATTTTTGAAGTTTTTCATACGGAAAATTCTTACCTGTAAAATTTTGTTTTTTAATTAATTTCAGCAAAATTAAATAAGTGACGTAAAATTATTTCGAAAACTGCAAACATTTTGAAAATTCATTTTTAGGCCTGAAAAAATGTTCATTACGTGTTTAAACTTTTTCAACATAATTCTTAACATTTCAAACTTGGCAAAAGAAATCAAAGATTTGACTTGCCAGTGTTTATCTATTTAATTAATTGTTTCAAAATATCATGGCTTACAGTTATTATCAATAAATGTTTGGTCAAAATTGATTGTGTTGTTCCAACTATAATCTATTTTTGTGTTATTTGGTTTATTTCAGTTTTTATTCAATAATTGCAGCATTTATTTAATTAACGTGTGGTAAAAAAACTGCAAGAGGACGTCGAAAGCATGTGTCTCGGCATGCCAGGAGATAATTCATCTGCCTGCCTGCTTACGTTGAACGTCACTCGTTAATATTTTTTTCACATTGTTCAAAGTTTTCATGGGTTTTATTGTTGAAAATGATGATGATTATTTCCCAAACATAAATTGAACAAAAAACTCCTTAGTGCGATTCAAAGAAAGCTTTAACAGCTTGAGCTCATGAAAAATTGGGGCTTTAAAACTCTAATCCACGTGTTAGGTTTTTTAAAACAAAACTTTTTTCAAATATTTCTAGATCACTGGATTAATTTTGAATTATTTTTTTAAATAATGTTCAAATAATTATTCAAATAGTTAGTTATTATTTATTCGTTGAAATGAAAATAATACATTCAGACATGGCGAATCGGTAGTTACTTATTAAAAGAGTTGAAATTTTCAGAAGACGTGTGTGTTATTCAATCCAAAAACTAATGTATTGCAATTTAATATATTATTTAGGTGACCATTGCTTGATCCATAACTTATTTGATTCACGCCTAGATGTGCAGTTTGATAACAAAAAAAGTCCGTATCAACGTCATTAAATATCTTTCGAGTTTATGTATTGCGCTCAATTAAACTCATCGGATCCATTTTCTTTAACATCCATCGCAAACATCATCAGGCAAAGCTTATAAACGCATTAGTTTTAAATTTTTTCTGAAAAATTTATAACAAAAATTAAATAAATTTTCAAATTGCAGGAAGTGCGCTTTTTCAATGATGCGATGAGATCACATAATAATTTCAAACCTTTTAGTATCACTTTTATGTTAAAAATTGTTAGAACAATTATCTTTAAATGTCAAAAACTTATATCTTTTTCTTCAAATGTCAAAATATTATTTTCGATTTGTCAAAAAAAATTAATTTAAATTAAAAAGATGTCTTTTAGTTATTTTTTGTGACTAATATTTCAGAAATTTCTTATTTTGAATTTTTATAAAAATTGTATTCGTGTTTTTTAACCATTTATTTTCGTGACTAATTTATCGATGTTTCTTCATTCCCTTTGAAAATATTTTTTGGTTGTATTTTAAAAACTATCCATTAAATTGTTCACTTTAAATCCTCAAAGATTTCGTCGACAGGAAGTCCAACGAGATGGTCCTCGGAGACAGGAAGCACTCGCTGAGGCACGTTAAACTGAAGGTCTGTTCGGAAATTTTCATTTTTTTTATTCATTATTATTGCAGCTCTGACATACGCAGAATGTTAAATATATATTTTCTATATATCTTTTTTATCTTCTCCATATGTTCATCCATTGATTTGAAACAAGCAGCCATCTTCGCCACAAATGCTGTTTATCCTTTTCACACGACGTACACATGTGTTTTACCGCATCGCATCACATACGCTGAGTATATGATAGCCATTGAGATGTTTGACTATGCGCGCATTTGAACCATTGGCCAACATGCGACAGCTTATGTCGACTCCTCATTTACCGACCTCAGAAGGATGGATGACTGAGTTGGCCGGGGGTCGGCTACTCGGATGAACCTGCACAAACAGCAGGATTCGAACCCGGGTCATGGGAGTAGCAGACGGACACGCTAACCACTCGACCACGAGACCCCTAAAGTGAGTATATGATAACAACGATAACGGCAACTAACATGATTAGTGAATAACGCAATGGAAATGACGCTTATGATGACGCTTATGGAAAGGAAGGTGTTGGCGTTGTAGATGTTCATTACTACCACGATTTTTTATTATTAAAATATAACAAACACCATTTGTATATGTAATGTATATGGGTAGGACTATGAATTATGGTGATGCAAGTTGAAGAGTTGTGAGTTACGTTAGCTCAAAGCTTCTGTCAAGTCGTTCGTCACGAGAACGATTAAAATGATGACGAGGACAAGCATCATGAAGATGAGGATGATGTTGTGCAAACTGAATTGCAACATAGGGGATCGTAGTGTACTATTATCTGGTATCGGACATAGCTGCACGTACACATGGACATGTACACACGGACTCGTATACACAGACACGTACACACGGCTGAACGTACACACGGACACGCACACACGCTTAAAACGTGCATACTTTGACTTATATACAAATCTGCAGGCGCACATTTGACCCTTAGTAAAAATTTCAAATGAAAGTAGAGAAATGCGACACGATAAATACAGAGCACGTATCCTGCTTGTTTGCAGTTGGCTATTAACTGCATGCTCGAGTACTTATGCCCGTCCATAGATACTTATTTCGTTTACATGCGGTTTTTCAGTCTTGAGACTGAGTTATCTGGTATATTTTCATGTGTTTAAGGACAAAACTCGGATGTGATTGAATGGGATGTTTATGAGAGGTTGTTCAGGTTGTCCTGGTTGTCCAAGTTCCCCATCACCCTGCGTGTTGGAAAACTTTATATGCTAAACAAAGGCAGGTTTCTCACTAGAATAGCACGGTGTATTTTGTGTTTGATGTTTATCTTGCGACAACTGAAGAAAATTAAATACGATGTTGATGAATGAGGAATAAAAGTTAGGAACTTTGAAGTTGTTAAAATAATCATATTTCATTAGCCTCAATCGTTGAATTACTTTGCAGGGTCTGAGTTTTCTGAATTTTTGCTTCCCGAACCAAAACGTAATGACGAAAAAAAACAAACAGAACAAAATGATTAAAAGACATTTTGTTTGAAGAACATTATAAATTAACATTTCCCTTGCATCGTACTTCATTTCAAGGAGAGATTATTTTTAGAACATTCTTTGAAGATAATGAACATTACATGCATGAATAAAACCACCTTACGTCACCAACTTTTTCAAATTCTTTTAGAATTTGTCTGTTCCATTTTTTGACGTCAGTATTATTCTTTTTTACTTTTTTATTTATACGTTTATTTTTATAAATTCGAGCCAAGTTCACACGTAGAATAGAAGAACACTGTAGTCTTTGAATTTAGGAAATGAGGCAGTTGTATAAAGTGACAAAATAATTTATTCTGACGCTGTTCGGCGATAATTAAATTGCTTCGAGTAATTGTTCCTTCCGTTTAGACAAAAACTATTGCACAAAATATTTGGAAAAAACTTTCCTGATCAAGCTTGCAAATAAATATTCATCAGAGCTAATAGTCGCAAACAATCGGAAATAACCAGTTAAAATAAATTTTTAAGTTTATTCATTAACACTTTGATGCTAACGGGAATGAATCTGTGTATGTTGTCAGAAATAATAGATGCATAGAAATGAATGTTAGAATCGCTTATCTACCAAATTTATACAAGGTAAATTTGTAAGAGCAGCCACCATCGTTAAATTCTGGTTTACAATGGGAGATGAAATATTTTTGCCAAGTGCGTCGTAAACTGTACACGAGGTTCATTCAATTTTAAACATGTTGCAGACTAGAGCGCAAGGTGATCTTGTGTGTATATTTTTAAAGAAGAATTTTTTTGAGTCTATTATAATATGCCTCCTTGATACAATGCAAACATACGTAAAAAAATGTGAAATTTTTAGATGTAGTAAAATGTGGATAACCGACGAATTATTAAAAGCAGATACCCAGTAAGAGGAGGTATAATAATTTTTGTGCTTGGGCAGATGAATGCATGTGTTGGAATAGTTTAGAGATGAATATATGTATTGGATTGGTTTCACAGATGAATGCAATTGTCGAGTTAGACAGCTGACTGTTGATTTTGAAACCATAGCGACTAGCACTGCAGCCAACAGGTATTCTTCGCGTGCATCTGCATGCTGCTGTTGTTTGTCCCCTCCGTAATGAGCGTGCCAACCTGTTTACAAAGTTAATTAACAAAATCATATCAGATTCTATTTTTATTGATAATCGTACTCAACATTAAAAAAATTAACTCTGATAACTCGGCCTGTCTGCGAGAAATTTTTGCATTTCTCTGTCATTCAGTAGATACGTGTAGTACTGCCATGCGCGTGCAGTAGGTCTGCTAGGTAAGCGTTTACAACTACTCGCCGACTTCTAGAAAATTTACCATATAGATCTGTTGAAAGTTTGAGTTATCATTTTTTCTACAAATATTCAACACATGTTCAGATAACTTAACAAAAAAGCTCGACAAGTGTATGAAATTGTTTGCGTGCGTGCGTGCGTTTGAACGTGTGTTTGCGTGTGTTTATTTGTTCGAATGCGTGCTTATGTGTTTGACTTGTGTGCGACGTGCGTGATGTTTTTGTTCTTGTACGTATTGTGTGCGCTTGTGAGAGTCGCTGACGTGCTTCTTTAACGTACTTGTAAGCTTGCAAATTTATTCATCTGTTGGTACGTAATGGGGTCTAATTTTGATTGCCCACAAGTTGCCGGCTTAATGCTATGGTGTAATTTGAAAGAAACTAAAATTTATAATCACTTTATTTGTTGTTATTTTCGTTTTTTGTTTATTGTTACCATAATTTGTATCATCATTTAAATACAAATTTGCAGAAAAACAATCAAGAGGCTAACACGAAAAAAGATAAATCTGTTTTGCAGGCCAAACTAACAAAGTTGGCCTTACAAATTGGATATGGAGGTATTTAACATTTTTTATCAATTTCATTTATTTTATCTTAAACGTACAAAAATTTAAATAAATTGTCTGATGTCAGATAACGTTGAAAAAATACATATGAAAAATGTTTTCAAAATCACTCATTTAATAATTTTTTAAGTTGATTTTTTGCTCTTAGCAGTTTTGACAAAAATATTTTTAAAGATTATAAACTTATTAAAAAAAACGTTTTTCGAATTTTTCTAAAAGTATATCTTTTTCAAACAGATAATTTTGTAGTTTCAAGCAATAATAAAATGTTCAGTTGTACATTTTGAAGTTGTTAACATTGTAGATGCCTTCTTGAACAGGAACTGTCGTAGCAGTCCTCACTGTCCTTATACTGGTCATAAGATTTTCCGTCGAAACGTTCTTCGTAGAGGGCAGATCATGGAGTCTGCAGTACATCCAACAATTTGTTAAGTTCTTCATCATCGGTGTGACTGTGTTGGTGGTTGCAGTACCTGAAGGCCTGCCACTGGCCGTCACCTTATCGTTGGCCTATTCCGTGAGAGTAAGTGACGATGAAGGTGTCATTTATTTTCATTTGTTTTTCATAACTTAAAAATTTTGTGCACATGTACAGTACACGTATATGTACAAAGATTTTTAGTTGCAAAGTTTAATTACACACATTTCAATTTGAATTTTTAAATGGAAGTTTTTCATGCGGCAACCAGCGAAGAATGTTTAATTTAAATTTTTGAATGCAGAAAATGATGTACGACAACAATTTAGTGCGACATCTGCATGCCTGTGAGACAATGGGAAACGCTACAGCAATTTGTTCGGACAAGACAGGCACGCTCACAACCAACCGGATGACTGTTGTCCAATGCTATATTGCAGGTTACTTTGACTTCTATCGATTTTAGTTATTGATCTCTCTCATCGATTTGCCATTTTAGTCTCGCATTGGTGTCATTGAATAATTATTTTTAAGCAGGACATTTTTTAAAAAGGTATTAAAATTTGTTTTAATATTTTTCAATTAGTTTATATTAAACAATATTATTTTTTGCTATTGGTAATGACATATCGAAAAATTGATCACATCAGATCGAACGTACAGGCGTGTTCCTCAGTCGAAAGATTTGCCTCGACACATCGTAGACACAATCGTCACCCTCATATCAATAAACAGTGGTTATACCTCTAAACTGATAGTTAGCAACAGTTTCAATTGCGTTTTTATTGCTTCAAGCGAGCAAAAGCTTACCGATGCATTTAAAAGTATTAGGATTAGCAATTAGCATATCTTTCCCGCAGTGTTTGAAATTTATTTTTTCTGTCAAATTTCGAACATTTATTATAACTGTTACAAATTTTTTATTACTGTTATCTAAATATTTTTACTAAAAAATTCTACTGATAAAGGAATGTTTGTTTGCAATAATTGTTTTAAAGTAAAATGTTGAAAAAAAAACAATTACAGCCGCCAGCAACCCCCGGAGAACTGCCAAAACAAGTTGGTAACAAGACGGAATGTGCCCTGCTGGGTCTCGTCACGCAGTGGGGTAGAAGTTACGAGTCGGAAAGATCAGAGATTACGGAAGAACACATCTTCAAGGTGTTCACATTCAACTCCGTCCGCAAATCCATGAGCACAGTGGTTCCAGGAAGAAGAGATCAAGGTGGAGGTTACAGGGTTTTTACCAAAGGGGCTTCAGAAATCGTTCTTAAAAAGTTTGTTCAGTTTAATAATTTTATTTTTTAAAAGTCCACAAGCAATTCTAATATACCAATTCTGAAAAAATGTTGGGTCAGTGTTTTAAAGGCTGACTTCCGAGAAATATTTTTTATAAATTAATTTGTTGCCAGATGTAGCTGGATACACAGTCGAAATGCTGAAGTTAGGAAATTATCAGTCAGTGACATATCTTGGATAATCAGCAATGTCGTTGAACCTATGGCTTCAGAGGGGTACAGGACACTCTGCTTAGCTTATAAAAATTATGTTACCGGTTAGCATATCAAAAATATCGTTCAATTTTGGTTAAATGTTCATAGTCTTTTATTTTATGGAAGCGAAAATTTTAAAATATGAAGAAAAGTTAATCCAATTTTTATAAAACATTAATTAATTTTGATTTAAGTTTCGGTTATATTATTGTCAATATTGAAAAAAGTGAAAAATTGTCAGTTACTGAATATTTTAGAATTTCCAAAATAATGACAGACACTCCAAAGCCAAATGAAGAGATGGCCTCCGAAACAATTGACTGGGACATGGAGGATAACATTGTCAACAACCTAACATGTCTTGCTATACTAGGAATTGAAGATCCTGTTAGACCAGAAGTTCGTGAAGAGAGTTTTTTCTCTATTTTTCTAGTTCTATTTCAAAAATATTCTGTCTTGTTAGGTACCGCAAGCCATCCGTAAGTGTCAAAGATCTGGCATTACGGTTCGAATGGTAACAGGCGACAACATAAACACCGCAAAATCGATTGCAATAAAATGTGGCATTTTACTGTCACGTGACAATTCGTTGGTTCTAGATGGTACGACTTTCAACAAACTCATTAGGGATAGGCCCGATGGACCGGTTTGTTGAAATTTTAAATAATTCCATAAAGTTTTCTTATAAAATTACTTTTTTAAAGGTCAGACAGGAGCTATTGGACAAAGTATGGCCAATGTTGAGAGTCCTTGCCAGATCTTCTCCAGCGGATAAATATACCCTCGTAAAGGGAATGATCGAAAGTCGGTTGTTTAAAAAAAGAGAAGTGGTGGCCGTAACAGGGGACGGTACCAACGATGGACCTGCTCTGAAGAGAGCTGACGTTGGATTTGCTATGGTAGATGTTGAAATTCATTTTTATTCTGCATACTTCAGTTTTAAAAATTAATTTATTATTAATTATTTAATTAATTTAATCATTTTTGAAAATTAAAACAAAAATCCAAATGCGGTTTATCTTTAAAAAATTCTTGACTTTTTTGTAGGGAATAGCTGGCACGGATGTTGCTAAAGAAGCTTCAGATATCATTTTGATGGATGACAACTTCACTTCAATTGTTAAAGCAGTCATGTGGGGCAGAAATGTTTATGACAGCATCGCAAAATTTCTTCAGTTCCAACTCACTGTTAACGTTGTTGCAGTTTTTGTGGCGTTTCTCGGAGCATGTGCTATAAAAGTAATTAATTGGTTTCTAAATTTTGATTTTTGTATCCAAAAGATGTTTTAAAGATTTCTTGTGTTGAACGCTACAACGTCTGCATGCTGTAATTTACCATATGTGGATATCTTTTAACATTTACAGGATTCTCCTTTGAAAGCAATTCAGATGCTTTGGGTTAATTTAATTATGGACACATTGGCATCATTAGCGCTAGCAACCGAACTTCCCTCTGAAGAATTGCTAGAAAGGAAGCCATATGGAAGGACGAAACCGCTCATATCGACAATGATGCTCGTCAATATCGCAGGACACGCTATTTATCAAATTTCTATCATTCTTCTTGTTTTATTTTACGGTAAAAACTAAAGTAAATAATATAAAGTATTTTATAAAGTTCATAGAGTATCTGTTTTATTTTTTGAAAAAAAGTGGCGTAAGTATTGAGCGTAAAAGTGGCGTAACTATTCATAATAATCTACCTCTGTATTTTTTCAATTATCTCTTGGCCTGACTCTGTGTCTTAAACTTAATCCTTATAAGTTTGAATTAATTTGTTTTAATATATCTAAACACTCTATAACTGTTCTTTTTATTATCATACCTGATTCTAAAACTTTGATGTTTTTAATACATGCTGTAGTCTAGGCTTTATCTTTGATTCTAGAATGTCTCTTTCTTCTCAGATTAATAGTATTGCTAGAAGCTTTTACTTTCACTTACGTAGAATAAAGAAACTTTTGCCTTTTCTTGACGATTCTACTCATCTCTTTCTTGTTACTTCGTTAGTCTTACCTAGGATTGATTATTATAACTCGCTTTATTATGGTCTTCCTGATTCTACACTCTATTCTTTAAGTAAAGCTTTTTCACTCTGCTGCTCATCTAGTTGTTCGTGCCCTTTTTTTTCTCATATATCTCCATATCTAGCCCCGGTTTACAATCGTCTTCTTGTTCTCACTTATTCTTAACTCATTATGAACACTCTTTTGCTAAATTTTCATTTGCTTTTTCTGGCATTTTTTTCTAGAAAACTTTCTACCTCCTTCTTTGACTACTTCTCAATCATTTACGAAGCTCAGAGCGGATCCCAAGACTCATCTGTTAGCAAAATTCACTGAGGAGCGCTGTTGAACATTGCGGAAAAAGCGCTTTGCAAACTTATTGATTGATTGGTTGAATGGCTGGTTGATTGATCGATTGATTGATCGATTGATTAATTGATTGATTGATTGATTGATTGATTGATTGATTGATTGATTGATTGATTGATTGATTGATTGATTGATTGATTGATTGATTGATTGATTGATTGATTGATTGATTGATTGATTGATTGATTGATTGATTGATTGATTGATTGATTGATTGATTGATTGATTGATTGATTGATTGATTGATTGATTGATTGATTGATTGATTGATTGATTGATTGATTGATTAAATTGATAGTTTGTACGTGCAACAGTTTACTTGCATAGACAAACCCACACAACTACACAAACATGCATAGACAGATAGACATATTCTTTTTTCAACCGATTAAACATTACACAAAATAACATTTCCTATATACTAAATGTCTTATCTTTATTATAACAGGTGAGACCCTGTTTGACATTGACAATGGTCGAGAAATAGGACTTCACTCACCCCCATCTCAACACTTCACAATCATTTTCAACGCTTTTGTCATGATGACCTTATTCAATGAGATTAACGCTAGGAAGATTCACGGACAAAGAAATGTCTTCGAAGGACTAACCAGGAATATTGTATTTATCGTTATTTGGACATCCACGTTCATCCTGCAGGTTTAATTCACATTTCAAACATTTTAATTTTTCTACATTCAGTTTTCATAAAATTTGCAGATTATAATTGTTGAATTTGGTGGCACCGCATTCTCGACAACAAATTTGACGTTAGAGCAGTGGGTCTGGTGTTTTTTATTCGGTTCTGGAGAACTGCTCTGGGGGCAGGTAAGTCACTGTGTGCAATCATTCTGTGTCGGGATTTGCATCATACAACGCCTCGCTTCTAATTTTATAGTAAAATGTAATTTAAATAACTAAACTTTTAAGTTCTGTTTTTCATAAAAATTCAATTTTTTTGCTTTTTAATCAATAAGTCGTGCGTTTTTGCATTGAAAGAATTTTAAGATCAATCAATTTTACGCTAAAAATAAAATGTTACATTCAATTCATTTAAAATATTATACAAATTCCTTCAAGTAATTTTTTCCTAATTAGTTTTTTTCTTACTAAACGAAATGAATTTAATGAATTTTAATATTTGATAAAATAGACAAGTATTGAAATTTATGAAAAACCAATACTTTTACTAATTTTTATATATTAGATGCTAATTTAATGATTGCCTAACGACTAAGATCAATAAGCGACGATGTAATCAGAAACAATCATCGCTACTGAATTGTAGGTTGTGATATCATTCCCTACACACCGTTTGATCAAATACCGCACCAAAAATTCAAAGGAGAAGTGCACACAAAAACTAGAAATGCTTGAAAAACAATTTGAGACCGACGAAGACGATTTTTCAGACGACATTCCCAAAGGGCAGATCCTCTGGATAAGAGGATTAACGAGACTCCAACATCAGGTGTGTTCCTTCATTATAAGTCAAAAATTACAAAATCATTTTAATTAGCTACAAACTTTTACGTGGTTTATATCCTAACGTTTTCTGAAAAAGTACAAAGTGTACATTTACGTAACTTAATACCCACTTTACAGTTGAGAGTTGCAAGAGTGTTCAGAGATGTCTTGACAGATTTCGACGACCGGAGAAGCGTTCGGAGTTCAAAAAGTTCAAGATTCTCTTGGCAGCGAAACGCCTCAGAAGAGAAGAGCATTCCAGACAGCGATGGTAGTTACATGGCTTCTGCAAATTGTTCCTATACAAATATGGGCATGTTGATGCAAGAGAAGAACAACGATCCATGTCAGAGTAGATCCGGTTCAGCTTCTAAAACAAGATCTGTTGAAAACGTGTCAGTGAAGAGCAGTAGTGGTGCGGGTACCATGAGCTGGTCCAAGCAACCCTGCATCATCAAACAAACGAGTTTGCCAAAACCGCCTTCAACTGGATACTTCAGTGAAGACGAATCAAGCCTCTCCAAAATAACCTGTGCATAAACTCTTGGATGGTGATCACAAAATACTTGAAAGTTACAGTGGGAAGTTCACGACTTCAACACAGCAGTATTTCAAGGGCAATGGGCTTTAGTGATGAAAACAGTTTCATACCTGATTTTTTGTTTTAAATAACGGTTTATGTGTACATATGATTCGAATTCAGATAGAAAGTAGATGTTTTAGGCAATACGTATCATACCTTCCTTTACTAACTAGTCATAACAAACGTCAAAATTTTTTAACGCTGAATGATAAATTCAACTCGCAACACTAAAAGTTATCAATTGGTTGAATACTTTTGCAACTTCCATTTGTAAAAAAAAAATAAAAGAAAAATCGTTGAAATCGTTCTACTACAAGTATTTTTTAGAGCATGAATTATAAAGTATTTTTGCACCCCCAACGTCTACAAAATGAGAATAACCATCAAGACAATCGATGACATTGATGAGTGGCAGCCTCCAAACTGCAACATAGTGAGTGTTCAGTTCTCTGTTATAAATTGGTCCATCTCTGCAGATACAGATTGGTGCTATCAATGAAAATGGCGGAAGCTCTAGATTCACTTTTCTGTATCTACCTGGGTTATCAGATTGTTGCAAATTTAATTCTTCGTTAATAGCTTCAGATGGATATGTAGTGCTTATTAAAAAGCTGCTTCCACTATCCGAAAATAATTGCAGTATCCTGTAATAAAATTTTAGTAAAATTTTAAATGAAAATTCTCTATAACTGTATAAGTAATAATATTTCAATGCTTATAACAACAACTATATGGACTAGCTGATTATTAACTTAAAAAACCACAAAAAGGTTTAAATTAAAGTTTAACATATACAACAATCCAAAGCACTGGATAAATAAAAGCAAAAGCAAAAATTTATCAATGCAAAATCAAGAAACTAATCCAGTTTCTAATCATCATAGATTGTGTTTAAAATATTTTAATTTAAATTAAACAAACAAGGCTCTGTTTCTGCAGTTTTACTGACAAAAGTTAATTTAATAACAATGTTAAGAATTTTATATTATTTTAATTTCCTTGATAAAAGATGACATCATATATTTTTACAACATAATAATTTTAATAACTTTAATATAATTTCAAAAAAACTGTTTTATGACTAGACATTTAGAAGATTAAGTCGATAACTCAATTCACCTTAAAATATCACCAGAATAGAGATGTTGCAGCAGCATCCTACATAATATGATGTCATAAAACCCTAAACTTTTGACATCAACAATATCTTGAACATAAAATTTCCAATTTTTGTTTTTGAAATTCTTTTTGTGGCTGGAAATTAACTCTGGCACAACATCTATCCCAGTATAATTAATGTCATTTCTGGATTCAAGGAACCTTTTCATCCACACCATATCCCCACAAGGCACATCCAACATTCTTATAACATAATTCTTTGTTTTGTTGCTTTTTATTTTATAAATTAAATTATGCAGCACAGCTGTGATCTCTTGAGACCAGAACAATGTCGATCCTTCACCTTCAAATATTAACCTTCAAATAATATTGTGAGACATTAAAATTTTAAAATTTAAATTAAAGAAATATTCCACACTTATTTACAATGACAAACTAGTAAATAAATATTCAAATTTTCAAAGAAAAAAACCTACTGAAACCTAATATCAAACCTGAAGAACTGTTGTAGTTGAAGTTGTTAATCCCATGATTACTACCCCAAGCTCCATTTTGGACAATTTTCCTAAATGAATCTTTTCTCTTTAGAGAATTTTCTTTGGGAAAGTTACCATTGTAATTAGATTGAGGTGGCTTTTCAAAATTGAATGGTTGGACATTTGTGTTTTTCAAAATTCTGCATATGACATTCCCAGTGAGGCAGTGCTCAATGACGTCATCGACGTCATCATCAAAACGGATGTCTGCCATGTTTGGCCTGTTGGTAAATTGATACTGGTTGTGTATTATAAATTCTTGTTCATTATCTTCAACAAAACTACCTGGACTAGATGTGGATGTAGTTGTATATGTAGTTGTGGTCTTAGAAGGTACTGGAGGGTTTCTAACCTTAATTTTATTAAGTGAATTTTTTTCAAGGAAATGTTTATATTCCTCGCCTATACTCAAACATTCTTCAATCGTAAATCTATATAAACGTTTTTTCCATAAGTAAAAAACAAAAATTAAGCTCAAAATGGAAAACAGACTAAGAACATAAAAATTTGTCACTTTCATAGTTTCATCTTATTTTATTAATTATTTTATTTAAGAAATGAGAAGGTAGGTTGCATTGTTACTTTTAATATGCTACACACGTCATATAATATGACCCGTATCACTAACAGTTAATATGATTTTAAAATATAAATAAGTTATTTATAAAACGTTCATATGATACAACATTGATTAGTTAAATTAAAAAGTCATTAAGAAGTAGGATCATCATCCGTTCTGCTGAATGTATGTACACCAGTATAGCAGCATACCATGTAACTATGTGTGTTACATATTTAATATGGGTGTAAAAAACATGTTAAACATAGAAATCAACAACTAAACAGTACTGACACTCAAGAGAAGAATAAAATGTATAATAATTAATAAACATACAGCCCAGGTAATTACGAGGAGCACCTGGCGGGCGACATAAAAACCTAAAAGTAAACTAGCGCACTAATTCATTAGGCGCCTAATTTTAACAATACAGGTCATACATTATTTACAATGCTTTTCAAATACAACCATGCCTAGAAATAAAATTTTATTCTTGTAAATAATTATTTTTTTTAGTTTTTAGAATATAATGTTGCCGCATTTTACACTCTGACGTTCCTTTTATCATCAATTTGTCTGGCAAGCAAATTGTTAGCGACGAGTGCATCCTAATTCTTAAACATGTATAGCTGATGTCTGACAGTTTTGGGTGTTTTTTTAAATCATTAGCAGCTAGCAGGTGTAAATTTTAAATACTCAGAAATGCAAGTTTGTTTAAAAAACAATTTAAGCTGGTTAAGATGAAGAATGAGGTTAGTTTCGTGCTTCGTAATTATTTTTTTTGATTTTTCAATTATGTTTTTTCTTCGAATTGATTTTATTTTGTAAACACCTTGCTATCAATTGAATTTTAAAATTATTTTTTATTTGTAGTTTCTAATATAAGAAACATATGATCGAGAACATATATTATTACAAATAAGCTAATATTCTCATAAAGGTGAAAGAATTACCACAGCTTTCACACAGTTTTTTCACCATGAAGTTTCTTAACACCAACTCATCAACTTCATCTTCGTACTCAACGCATTCTTCCAGTGTTCCCTCTTGTCGAAAATTTTCGCTGGTACAACAATTTGAACAATTCATGGAATTCAGCCAAAACACCGAATTCGAAGAGTCCGTAGTTGCATTCATGTCGCAATAATCCTCACTTCCACAAAATGTTTCATTATAGTTTGGCGTTGTGGATGATGAAAACGTTGATGCCAACGAGCAGAATGATGCAGATGTACCACATAAATTTTTGTTGTCATCAGAATGTCGAACAGGATTCCTTCCATCCAACACCAGATTAAATGTACTTTTTGGCAAATTATTGTTAGTAACATTTATGTTATTCATGTTGTCCTTCACAAACATTTTGTAATCATTACAGTCGTCCAATTCTATTTGGTGCAAGTTAAAACTTGTTTCTTCAGCAATTGACGAAAGCGTTTGAGCCATTGATTTTAATCTTAAGCTCCTGTTTTTTCTTGCTTCAAAATCAACTTTTATAATATTAGTGTGCTTTTTTTGATCATTTTTATAGTGAGATAAATCAATGGTTGAGATTGACTTTTCGAGTTTAGAATTTAGAAATTTGACGTTGCAGCAATTGGGTGTTTCAGAATTATGATGGTCAGCGTTGACATTGCAGCAGTTGGGAGTTTCAGAATTATGATGGTCAGCGTTGACATTCATTGAAGTCATTGCAATTAGGTAACTCTCCCTTCTTAATGAATTGTACAATTTCAATTTTGAAGGTTTCATTTTTTCACTTTTGATGCCGATATTTTGATTCGAATGGGATATTTCTTCTTTTCGTATTTTCTGATCCACCTTGTCAGCATTGTCCTGTTGCACTTTTGAACGTTTGTTAATGGCTGAACGCATCTTTTGGTAAACTCCTTGAAAATGTAAATTTTAATTTTAATAATAGGTCACCAAAATAGTAATTTTTAAAAGACTATATCATATCATAACACTTACTTTTTATAACAGTGGTCAGGTTCTCCTCCATAGTGCTGTTAATGTCGATGAAATATCAAAATAATGTTCAAAATTTTTTCATTCAAGATTTTGAAATTGAACATTCACCAACTTTTTTATACCAAACTCTAGAAATTGTAACAAAGTGTCAGCAACAAGGATAGGTTGTTGATCAGAAGTAATCACATGGCACTGGTTCACTGTTTGACAGCTTAGAAGTGATGTCAGTCTTCGGTAACATCGGTGACACGAGTCGTTGATGTTGATATTTTCTATCATTTATTTATTCCAAACATAAAGTGATTTTAATCCAACTAAGTGTAGTTACATAACATGTTTTATTTACAACGAATTGATTAAAATGAAGAAATATGAATAACAAAATCTTCACGAAGACATAACTAAACACTCACTACTTGTTAGGATTTCTTGCAGATGTTTGACATCCCGCCGCAAAGTGTTTGTGTATCATTTATTCTTTAAAAAATGAAGCTCAGACAGACGCAGGGAATGGTGCAATATTCAAAAGGAATGAATACAAAAAATAAAATTGATAAAAATATTATTGTGAAAAATAAAAATGATACAAGCTTTATTTGAAAAACATGATAAAGAAACGTGAAATATATTAAAGATTGATATATGATTTCGGAGAAACAAATACTGATCACAATGATAAATGAATAGATATTTGCGTTGAAAATTAATGAGCATATGAATAATTGTAAACATTATTAAAAACAAACAATCAAACAAATAAAAAGGTTAATAGATGTATGAATAAATTATGATGTATGATTAAAGACTATTGAGAATAACAGAGACTATTGAAAAACAAAATTAATAAGATATGTTAATTAATCAATACAATCAATACATGCAATTTTGATGCTGAAAATTGGTGAATGGAAATGGTTAAAATAATATGTGAATGTTATTCCATATGTGGCGATTGTATAGTAGTGTTATGTGTTAACGTAGGTTGTGTGATGTGGTCTCCATTGGTGATAACAATGAGTGAACGATAAGAGTGATTTCTATTATTTGTATTGTAATTTTTCGGGGTTTGATTTTATTTTTCAAAATAAACACGTGGCTAACGTGTCAAATATACTCACATGGACTCTGGAAGAGAAGACACATTGATGTTACCTACTGATAATCTAATCATATCACGCATTAAATACGCCGCCCCATCGTTTTCAAAATCTGACACCCAACAACAACTTCATCAATCTCATTCACTCATCAACTAATTAGACTATTTTTTGCCATCTTCGTATTTATCTGTGGAATGGTCTGCCGGCGAAGCTTAGAGGTTGCGTGTCACCGTCGGCTTTTAAGAAAATGTAACTAACGCTTTTTCCCATTCTCTTTTATCGTTCCCAATTACCAAACACTGATTCCCTATCCCATAAAATTTCCATTCCTGAAAATTTGGTTTTGCCAATTCCCGTTCCCAGGCTCGCTTCTCATTCGGACTAATTGGCTTTAGACATTTTAATTTGTAACAGACTAACAATCTAGTAGAAGATTTCAATCAAAGTGGAATAAGTGAAAAATATTTCTACAACCCTTTTTTTAGTAGCCGTAGCGATTTTACGCTGCATTTTCATTTAAGTAGCGTTAGCGTTAGCGACGCAACATTTCACTTGCAGTAGCGATAACTGCGCTCCTTTTTATGATTAGCGTTAATGACCCTGGTGTGTGTGTGTGTGTGTGTGTGTGTGTGTGCGTGTGTGTTTATATTTTGTAAACAAAATATATTACATACTGTCTGCAACACACACAAAGACACAAACCATCATTTTCAGTGAGTGTTAAATATTATTATTTTTTAAAATCAGAATCTGACAGACTCACAATATATAGTATAAAATGATAACGGAAAATAAATAACGGAGTAAGAATGTTTAAGCAGAATAAGCAAGGAAAATAAAATAATTATTTAAAAAACGTATTAAGAAATTGATTAATTAATTAACTAGTTAATGACTTAGTAAGTTAGTTATGTGTTCGTTAAATAAAAAGTAGACGAAAGTGAACAAATGACAAATATTTATTGAGTGTTAATATATTTAAAGTGTCTTGTGATGAAGTTCTTATCCTGATAAGCTGATTCAGCGACGACTTGATAGTTACGGGGGTGAAGTTCAATCAATCACTTCTTCATTAAAACTGAATAATTTGTGTTGATATTCTGAGGTTTAAAATGGAGTTTTTATTTCAACAAATTAACGTTTTTATTATCACAGTTGTTAGATAATTTATAACCATATATATAGAATAAAGTATATACATTCTATATTTATGTTTATAACAATCGTGTTTTATTTTGATTTTGGAAGGGTTTTTCTTAATTTCTTAATGCTAGTTAACTTCATTAATTTCATTCTTTTTTTTTACTACAAATGGACAAAAAACAAACAGCACAGCTCATCTGAGAGTCATGTGACCCGCTATTAACTAACAAAGAAAAGACTCAATTGATATTCAAATGAACTTTGTGTTTATAAACTGTTTATATACACATACCCGTGTACGTGTGAATTTTAAAATTTGGCAGTTCAAAATATTTAATGTACTATTTTAGCAATTTATCAGATCAAAATATTTCAAAATGAATGATAAATTTATAGATGACGACGTTATACCGATAATTCGAGTGTACTTGAATAGGATCGACGATGAACAAACGGATTTAAAGGCCCTGGTGTACAAAAATTTTTTGCAAAACAGTTTCTGCCGCTCCATTCTCACGTCGGCTGACATTGAAAATTTATCAAGAAGCATTGCGCAAAATAAAATTGACAGCCCTGCAAATGATGACATTGCCTGGTTGAACAGGTTTCGCTTATTAAGTACCATTCAACAACATGACATTCTAAAGAAAATGCAGGATGATTATTATTCAAACATTTCCAAGAAACCCATAATACAAAAAAGAAAATTTTTGAGCAAAGGTTATGTTGGTACTGTCTACCACAAAGAAATGCGTTATCAAATTCTTGCAGATAATTGCAGACAGTATAATTTGCCATATTTAAAGAACAAGTTCGTGAATGATGAATGTTCAATTTGTATAGAAAAATTTAACGTAAAAACATTTGTCTGCGAATTGAAGTGCAAACACGCATTCCACATTGCGTGTATAACGAAGTGGTCTAAAAATAAAGAAACATGTCCTTTGTGTCGGGAAGTTACGAGTATCCATTTTTATTTTACGTTCCATTGTGACGTAAAATTTAAAAAGGACAAAAAAAAACTTTATCTTAGGGTGGCCAGTGGTCCTAGAGGTTTAATTTAACATTTTATTGTTTTTGTTTGTTTGACGCTGACATAAATTCTTCAATTTTTATGAAAAATGATTTATTTATTTCATTTTTTTATATAATTCCTATTTAATTATCAGAAATAAAAACTTTTTAAACATTACGTCCGAAAGATTAACATGACTCATTCACTATTAATTTGTTATATTGTATTAGCTACGTTTTAATGAATTTTTTGTTGATTTTAACTTATAATTCCTGTTAAACATTCTTACGCTAAATCTGCTTTTACTTTTTCTGACCCTTGACTCTGGAACTTTACCTCTTTCTATAACTACCCCTCCATAACTTACGAATTTAATAGCGGATCTCTATAGTCATTTATTTGTTAAATTTAGAGAATGGCGCTTTATAAACAATTTGATTGATTGATTATTTATTTATTTATTTCTATTATATTATGTTATTGTTATTATTACTATTATTATTATTATTATTAAAAAACAGACTCGGACTATACATAGGTACGTTACTTGTATTGTACATGCTCCTCGTTATTTTTTTCAAGTAAAATAAATATTCATTATATAAATCGTCAAGTACAATACGGATACGACACAATTTTATTTTATTTATTTATTGTTTGGTTTGGTTATTTTTTTACTCTTTTTATCATGTCATTGTAATTTTTTATTTATGGTTGTAAATGATATTAGATATATGTCTGTGTTTTTGTTATAAATACCTTTGCGTTTGCTCAGAGTTTACGCAATATATGTTGAATTAGTAAGTGCAGAATATAAATATATAGGTAGAGAATAAGAATTTCATGCAATGGACTTTGCTGTTTTCTTTGATCAAATGGTGTCGGAGTACGTAACTGGCTTCACACAGACCGAAGAGGCAATGAATAGAGCAACATACGATGTTATCTTAAAAGATATTATCAGCCAAAAATCACTAATCACGCCAGCGGATATTGAGAAAATAGCAGCCCACCTCTTCACGGGGGTCGTTAGCACTGCGAACGAAGAAGCAGTTTGGTCTGGCGACTTTCGACGGTTGAGTGGCGATCAGCAATACGACATATATAAAGAAGCCCAGGATAAATTTTTTGAAAACGTTTCTAAAAAACCTAAATTAAAAACTGCTCAGTTTAACCAAAACAATAACCTCTATTTGTTTCTTTACCACAGAGATTCGTATTATGAAACGGTCGCAGCTTATCGAACGTATAAACTGCCCTATTCTAGCGGGAAATTTCTGCACAGCGAGTGCATGATATGTTTAGAAGATTTCAAAGAAAAGTCTTTCCTTTGTCAATTGAAATGCAAACACGCATTTCACACAGCATGTCTGGCCTTGTGTTTCAAAGACCAGGTGGCTTGCCCGATTTGTCGTCAGGTGTCAATATTCAATCAATATTTTTACGGGACCCTAGTTATTTTATTCATAATTTGTTCTGTGTTTTCTATTAATGCACTGAAAATAATAATTCGAAATTTGTGCTGTAGCTCGTTTTGAACTATTAAATTTAAAAAAGAGTCATATTGCTGATTATTTCGATATGAACATGATAAATGAATACTTAGACAAATATATGTTGTTGTTCATATTTAACGGCATTTATGCTCCCAAAGTGGTGCAATTGTTTGCCAAATTAAGAAAAAATTATTTTCTTTTTCCATGTGGAAAAATAGAAGTTCAGATAATATGAAAAATGTTTATTGCACTGAACGTGGAGAAAGAGAAATACTATGGGAAAAATATTTAAATCATATCGTAGTAGTTACAATCCTTCAGAAATTGTATTGCATTGATAATATTATTGTTATTCTTAAAATTCTCTGAAAGCTCTTTATATATTAAATGTTTATGTCTATGTGTAATTGGGTTCTCACAAGTTATAATATGTTGGATTGTTAATTTGTGTCCGCAATATTGACATAATGTTTGATCTGACTTATTTAATATATATCCATGTGTTAATTTTGTGTGGCCTATCATTAGTCTGTTTATTTTAGAGGATACCAATCGGGTGTTAAATATTCTGCATCTCTTTTGTTCGATCAATGGCTTTATTTGCCTTAATTGTGTTATGCAATCATTCCATTCATTTTGCCATAATGTGTATATATATATATATATATTTATTTATTTATTATTGATTTAATGTCTGAGTAAATCATTGCTGTATTTAGTATGGGTTCATTGTGGGCTGTTAAAGCTAATTGATCGGCCTTTTCATTACCAAGAATACCTATGTGACTTGGTATCCAGATTATTTTAATATGGCAGTTATTTTGTACAATGTTATGAATTTTAATTTTTATTGTATTAACAAAGCTATTGTTACTTGTATATTGTTTTAGTGATTGTACACCTGATAAAGAATCAGTCAATATTATAAATGATTTGTTAATTTCATCTTTTATGTAATCTAATGCTTTATTGATTGCCTGAAGCTCGGCAGTGAAAATTGAAGTGTCATCGGGCAAATGTATGGCTATTTTTGTTTTATCTATTATAGCCGCTGCTGTTGTTGAATGATCTATATTTGATCCATCTGTATAAATTATGGTGTTATTAATATTATGATTGATGATTTCTTTGACTATTGATTGTATGATGTATTGGTCCTCACATTTTTTATATTTTGTTAGTTTTGTTTTTATTAAAGCTTCATTCATTCTCCAGAAATAAGGAAGTTCAGGATTTTTAAGTATATCTTGATGTTTTATGATTTTAATATGATTTTCAATGCGCAAATAAAATGGAGCTATTGCTTTAGGTTTTTTGAGAAAGTTAGTTACAAATTTTTTACTTTTAATGTATTTATATAAAGGACTTTCTGGGTATGATATGATTTTATAATAATAGTTGAGTGACAATTTAATATGTAGGAGATTTAGTGGGATTTCATTGGTCAACACATGTAGGCTCAGAGATGGAGAGGTTCTATAAGCGCCTAAACACAATCTTAGAGATTCATTTATAATTGGGAGTAGTGAATTTACGTATGGTTTTCTGGCAGATCCATAGACTTGGAAACCATAGTCTATTATTGATCGTATTTTGGATCTATATATCATTAATAACTTTTCGTTTTTTTTAAACAAGTTTATTTTACGAAAACACATGAAAAAGGATTCGAAAAGAAACCAAAATTCCAAATAACAAAGAACCCCACAAAAAATAATAAAACACATTAACGTCAAACGTCAGTTTCAATTTTTAAAAACTAATTAGTATTGTTACAAAATTTTAGAATTAAAAAACATATGCATAAAATTAAACTTGTTGCAACGAGGAAGAAAAGAAAAGAAAGAAATTCAAATAAAATGAATTAAATAAATTAGAATAACCTTAAATATAAAACCAAAATATAAAACCAAAATATAATATCAAAGAAATGTGTATAAACAAGAAAAAACAATAAAACAATATTGTATACTAAATAAAATTAATTAAGATAAATATAAAAGAAAATTTTTTAATTTATATTTAAATGGTCGATAAACAGTACAAGTTCTTATAAAATTTGGTAGCCTGTTCCATTTATACCCCATAAAAACATATATTTCTATTGAGTAGTTAGGTTTTAACAATAGATTCTTTTAATTTTTTTTCAAAATTGGAACTCGGTGGTCTTGCCTTGATTTCATATTTAAATGAATCATGTAGGTAATTGTCTGATGGTCTTATAGCACTATTAAGCAATCGAAAAATAAAACAACAGCATTTAAGATAATTTATTTCAAATATCGATAGAATCTTAAGTTTATTGAAAAGGTCTTTTTTATCTATATCGTTTTTAAAATTTATAATTTTTAGTGCTTTTTTTGGACATTAAATAAAATTTCTAAATACGTCTTGAAAGTGTAACCCCATATTAGATTTCCATAGTATAGATGTGGATATATAAAAGCGTGATACATTAAAATTAAAGTTTTTTGGTAGAATATATTTTAGTCTGTTCATGATTCCCAAATTTCTATTTATTTTTTGCAGGATGAAATCAATACGTTTTTTAAAAATTAATTTCCGATCTATTATAATTCACAATAATTTAAAATCTTCAACTCTGTCAATTATACTGTCACCTATCTTTAAAACAAATTCTTCATCGTTACAGTTCAATATTTTAAATATACTTGGTTTTTGTAATATTTATATTAATTTTATTATAAATAGACCATGAGTGCAATTTATCTAAACAATTATTTGTACAAACATTCAAATTATTTATATCCCTAGAAGTAGTGACCATTGTAGTGTCGTCTCCATAAACAATGAAATTAGAGATTTCGGTTGTATTGACGATATCATTGATAAACAGGATAAATAATTTTGGACCTAGAATACTTCCCTGTGGCACACCACTTACCACCCGACGAGTATCTGAGTTACAATGGTTTATTGAAACGTATTGAAATCTATTTGCGAGGTAACTACTGAACCACTTCAGTGCATGTCCTCTGATTCCGTAATGTTCCAATTTAAACAACAGTATATCATGTGGAACGGAATCAAACGCTTTTGAAAAATCTAAAAACACAGTCGAAATAGCATGACCAGCATCATATTTAAAAACAATTTCATTAAAAAGCCTTATGAGTGCATCTTCAGTGGAACAATTCTTTCGAAAACCAAATTGATCATTTGTTAAAACATTATTGGCACTCATAAATGACTCGAGTCTTATCTCGACAACCTTTTCCAACACCTTTGAGATACAACTTAATATACTAATTGGTCTATAATTATTAACGTTATTGTGTGACCCAGACTTATAAACAGGAACAACCCTCGCAATCTTAAGACAGTCTTTATTTTGTTATCAAATTTGATTGGTATTTTATTTAAATGTAATTTTGGATGTTTTATTTTTCTTTTATTTGTAAATAATATGGCCGTAGTCTTTGAGTTTGAAAAAAAAATCCCATTATCTGTTGACCGACATAGATTTGGTTCAATAAACCGTTTAATTTTCTTTCAATATTTTCAATATTTGTATTTTTGTAAGCTATCATAAAATCATCTATATAGAGACATCCAAGCATGTCCGGTAGAATTATGTTGCATAAACCATTTATTTTCAGATAGAACAGGGTAACTGATAAAATGCTACCCTGTGGAATTCCCATCTCCATTTCTTGTTCTGAAGATAAAAAATTATTATATTTTAGTTTAAATTTTCTTTTATGCAGGAAGTTGGATATGAATAATGGAAGTCGACCTTTCAGACCAGCTCTAAACAAATCCCTTAAGATACCGTATCTCCAGGCCTTATCATAGGCCTTTTCAGCATCCAAAAAAATGGCAACAACCTGTTCGTTGCAAACAAATGCTTCCCTTATAAAAGTTTCCAGAGAAACAAGGTGATCAAGAGTGCATCGGCCTTTTTGACCGCCACGCTGAAATGGTGATATTATTTGTTTAGTTTGTAGGTAATATGTAAGCCTATTATTGACAATTTTTTCAAAGATTTGACATAAAGTATTTGTTAAAGAGATGGGTCTATAGTTTATGGGGTCTTCTATTGATTTATTAGGCTTTAATATTGGTATAATTATGGCTTCATGCCATTCCTCCGGGACATCAGAGTTAATCCAAATATGATTAAATGAATTTAAAATTGAGATCAATGAGGTGTTTGGAAGGTGTTTCATCATATTGTATGTGATTTTATCTGGCCCAGGAGTAGAATTGTTACTTGTATCAATGGCATACTTTAAATCTTCCATGGTGATCATGTCACTGTAAGGTTCATCATTATTTGAATTAAAATCTAACAAATTTTTTTCTTCCGTGTGCATTATATTAGCAAATGTTTTATTTATGCTGGAAATGGATGAATTCACCCGGAATTGATTTGCAAGAGTGTTTGATATTTCTTCATTAGATTGATAAATTATGCCCTTAACATTTATATTGTTTGAATTGCTGTGATTGCTTTTATTAGTTATTTTGTTGATAACTGACCATATCTGTTTAGATGTTGTATTTTTTGTTATTGTATTGACATAATTATTCCAACAATTGACTTTTTCTTGTCGAAATACTTTCCTAGCTTTTAGCGTGAAGTTTTTCAAAGTCTATCAAATTTTTAATGCTGGGGTTTTTTTTAAATATTAAATGCTTTTAATTTTAAATATCTACTGCTCTTACATGTCATTAAACCATGGATTAATTTTTGGTCTTACCTTCATAGGATTGATTTTTATTAATTGTGTGGTTAGTTCTATTGCCTTAATGATCTTTTGAGTTATATATGTTATTGGATGAATTACTGAACTACTTTGTAATTCTGTTGAATTTATTGTATTGTTACATATCTTGCTAAACTGATCCCATTTTGTATTTTTTAGGTTATACTGTTCATTTATTTCTTGTTCTGTCATATTAAATGTTAAGATTATGGGTAAGTGATCACTGTTATGCAGGTCATCTTCCCTTCTCCATTGCAAATTATTGAAAATTGCAGGTGACGAAAATGCTAAGTCTATTGTTGATAATAAATTTGAATGAATATGAAAGTGGGTGGGTTGAGAAGGATTGATTAAACATATGTCATTGTGTATTAGAAATTTTTCAATCTTTTTACCATTTGTGTTATTTTTGCCACTGCCCCAAATTAAATTGTGTGCATTGAAGTCCCCAATGAATAGAAATGGTTTTGGCAAAGATTTAATTAGTTTTTCAAGTTTATTAGTATTTATAATCGTATTTGGTGGGTTATAAAAATTACAGATGCTTGCTATTCTGCATTAATATTTAATTGTGATTGAGGGATTCTATGATGTACAAAAATTGATAAATCTCCTCTAGGGTTTGTAGGAGTTGTAGCAGCTATATGGTAAGAGCTGTAGTTTTTTATTTCAACATTTTTAGTATCAGTTAGCTTAGTCTCTTGCAAACATATAATATGGGGAGAACATTTTTCAATTAATATAAAAAGTTCTAGAATGTTACTTCTAAAGCCTCTGATATTCCATTGGATTATATTAATTTTATTGGTTTTTGGTTGTCATTTATTTTGTTTTGAATTATAGTTGCCTCTAGTATATTGCTTAGTTCTGTTTATTTTTGTAGCATTGCGTTCCCCTTTATCTTCATCACTTGTACCGGCATCACCAAAATCATAAACCTCAATTGGGTCCATGCAACTTGACTTATCACTGCAAATATTTGTTTTTTTTCTATCTCTTTTTAGATTCTGCTCAGTTTCTCTTGTCTTTACTTTGTTGCTTTTCAGTGGAATGTTAATAATATCACACTGAACACCTATGTCAATCATTTTTTTGCCTTTGACTATTTCTACATATGTTGGCTTTGACTCTTGTTGAATTAATAATTTGGCATCTTTATAAGTTATATTTTTATTATATTTTGTAATTAAGATATTTTTTTCCAATCTGTATTTAGGGCACGATTTATCGAATGTTGCGTGTGCCTGCTTGCAATGATAACATTTCGGTGTCTTATTGCATGGAGAATCAAATGTATGTTTATGTCCCTTTTCACCACATTTGGAGCATTTTTGTTCATTGCCCTTACATAATTTGTGGAAGTGGCCACACCTCTGACATTTAGTGCATTTCATTGGTGGGGGTATGTATTGCTGAACATTGATTTTTTGATATCAATATTTTAACTCACTTGGCAATTTAGTAGTTTCGAATGAAATGATGAATGTATTTGTTTCAATTCTTTGACCATTTTTTGTTATTTTAATATTCAGAACGTCGTTAACGCCGAATTCTTTCAGTTCTTCTCTTATTTCTTCGACAGTACAATTTTTGAAAAGAGGAGTTTTTATCACTCCTTTTACAGAGTTGAGTGTTTTATGTAAATAACATTTTACTTTTATATCCAATATGTAACTTAGGTTCTGAATTTTATTTTTTGCCCCTCATTTTTTATTTTAATTAAAATTTTTGTTCCAAATATCTTTATAATTTCAGTATCTCCAATGGAAGTTTGTAAAAATTTGAGAATTTTAAATAATGGTAATTTGCTAAATTTCAGTTCACCATCATTGATAGCTTCTATGACAAAAAAGACTAAAAGAGGTTTAATTCTTCTTCCTCCATATCACTTAATTAAACTTAAACTAAGTTGGCGTTTTGGTTTTTTGTGTTTTTGGGAGTTGTTCATTATTTCTATTTATTTTCACGCTACCAATGTAGCTGAATTAAAGAAACCACCCCAAATGGTGAAAAAAATCAAAAAAATGGAAAAACAAAAAAGTAAACCACTCCTGGAAGTCAGCTTCTGCCAGCGATAGTATTTGAAAAAATAAAAAGAATAAATTCAATTCAACCAACTTCTTAGAAAATGAAAATTAACAAAAATCCGAATTCACGAAAAAATTGTGGAAACTAGAAAAATACGCTTAATTTACATAAGACATCGTACAAAACGAAACATGCAAACAATAGTGTGGAATTTTGTTTATTATTTATCTATGTTATTATTATATCGTAATTCTGTTATAAATAAATATTAATAATTATATATAAAAATAAATAGATAAATGTATATATTTATTGATATATATTGAAAAATTGTGTAAATAATTGCGATTTATTTAAACCGGTGTTTATTGTTTAATTACATAAAGCACAAAATATTATCAAAGAAATGCTAATGTAGTTAAATTAACTGCTTGCTGCGTTTGATCATTATTATGAATAATCTGTTTCAGCTTGTATATCTGGTAGATTTGTTTCTTGAAATTGTTTGTGTTGTATTTGCCCGTGGTCTGGATGTATGAGACTGGCAGAGGCGTCATATGGGGGGTGGCAGGGGGGGCCCCAAGAAATCAAAATTCTAAATTTTTGCTGTACGAAATTATTATGACAAAATTGCAAACACTATAAAATAATTATATAAAATTATATATTTTATTATAATTATATATACAAAATATTGTGCTTTTTGAATTTTTAAATGTCAAGCGCTATACAATTTATTTTATTTGTTCCTACAATAATTCATGTTCTGTTTTAAATTATAAAAGTGTTAATTTTAAATTCTTTGTAAAAACGATATATTTAGGATATATAATTTAGTAATTTTAAAACTTTAAAAATTTTGAAATTTTAAAAACTTTAAAAATGTATAATTTATTAAAATGTTGCACTGACGAGACTAGGTAGTGGAAAGAGTACTATATGCATACATGTAGATAATGACATCTTCTGTAAATAGGAATTTTGTTAATAGCATTAACAAGTTAAGTTTAGTAGATCGGAGAATTATTCGAAGAATCGAGAAACTATCATATAGATTGAGTACTGTAAGAAACGCCGTGATCTTTATTAATAATATATATATATATATATATATATATATATATATATATATATATAAATATATATATATATATATATATATGTTGGTAATAGACCATAATTTTTACAATATTCTATAAATTCTACCGAATGTTTGGCGTTAATATGTTTGTAGTTCGTTTT